AGGAGCCCCTAGTAGCGTCCTTGTTCCTAGTAGCGATGCCAGGAGCCCCTAGTAGCGTCCTTGTTCCCAGTAAGTAGCGATGCCAGGAGCCCCTAGTAGCGTCCTTGTTCCTAGTAGCGATGCCAGGAGCCCTAGTAGCGTCCTTGTTCCTAGTAGCGATGCCAGGAGCCCTTAGTAACGTCTTTGTTCCTTAGTAGCGATGTCAGGAGCCCCTAGTAGGACTTGTTCCTAGTAGCGATGCCAGGAGCCCCTAGTAGCGCCCTTGCGATGCCAGGCCCCTAGTAGCGTCCTTGTTCCTAGTAGCGATGTGCGCAGATGCCAGGAGCCCCTAGTAGCGTCCTTGTTCCTAGTAGCGATGCCAAAAGCACTTCAGTACTTTGCTAGACAGAAGTGCTATACCGATGCAGCCAAATCCACACGTAAAGACCTTCGTAGCTGCCAAGACATTTTTGACCCAGACCTTTCCTCTTTGTTCCTTCGCCGCTCTCGTTTGCACCTCGATTCGACTATTCCGAACCGGATCTTTTTCGAATCCGTTCAAGTTGGGTGTAACTTGACTAATGACCGGCTTTATCGAGCTGAACTCGTTGCAGCACCGAATTGTCGGTTGTGCGATTGTGCAAAAGAAACCTGGGAACATCTCGTTCATCATTGCCCGGGTGTTGCGTCAGCGATCTCTAGACCTCCTGATCACGAATTCGGTCAACTTTCCCATGTTCGATTGTGTTCGCACCCAAGGAAGGTTGCTCTTTCACGACTCCGACTGTCCCCTGTTGGAGAGACATCGGGCTCATTCGATCCTGAACAGCTTGAATTCCTATGGACGGACGGTTCTGTCCAGTGGGGCAGCTACTTCTGGCTCGCCACTGGAGCCTATGCCATTGTTAACGCCCAGTTTCAAGTTGTTGAATCGGGAGGCGTCAACCACTGGAAACTTTCGGCCTACACAACTGAATTGTTTGCACTCCTTCGTGCTGTCAAACGTGCATCATGTCGCATTCATGTTCGTTCTGACTGCCAATCGATCGTTGACCAGTTCAATGACTTGTGCCGTACACTTCAGGTTGATCCAGGCTGGTCTCATCAAGCATGGTGGCATGAGCTGCGGTGCACTTTGACATTGCGCCTACTGGTTTGTACTACCCCGATCATTGTGTCATGGACTCCAAGCCATCTTCTCGAGCACCTTCCTCCTGCCCTCATTACTGAGGCAGCTGCACGGGAATGTGGATCATCATCACGTGACACTATTGCTAATCGGGTTGCTGACCATGAAGCTAAGCGCATTGCAACCGACCTTTCACCCATTCGACCTTCTGATCAAAAGATTGTTGAATGTGCGATCTTACGCCGACACGAATGGTTAGTTATGTTGAATTGGCTTTTGGTGACGACACAACCGTCCCCGACCTTCACCCAAGCAGCTCCAATCACGACAGACACGGCAGCCTCCGTCATTTCCCGTGTCCCTCAATGGTTGTGGGGAACGCCGCTCACCGATTTTTCCTGGAAGCCGAAGATTTTCACTCAGCAATCTCAACCTTCTCGATGGAGCTTCACTGAGGAGGATTGGCGTGATTTCCGATTGTTTCTACAAGGCCTTCGTTGGAAGGTAGATTCGGAAGCGTGTGTGGCTACGACTGAGCTTGCCTGTCTCTTTTGGTGGAGGGGCCACCGACATACCCAGCTTGCAGCCGGTACCCGGTACCAGTTTTTATCACCATTTGATCCTGGTGTTTCGTTCTATGCTCAAGCAAGCCATTCGCCTCGAGAATGCCCAGATACTTCCTGGCGACCTGGTTGCAACAACGAACAAATATAGCGGCTGTGCTTTTCCGAAAGGCATCGTTGCCGGAGCGGCCGTTCACATGACCGATGGTGAGCGGCTCAAATTGGTGCACCTTTTTGACAATGGCGCTGGAAGGGCACTTTGTACGTGGGATGTCGTACTACCGGTGCTTGATAATTAGTGTACATTTGTGACCACCTGTGTCCTTTTTCTTTTCACCTCCCATGCTCCAGAGAGGGCGTGGTGGCGAGACGCGTGGACCGATCGCGATGGTGTGCCAGGAGCCCCTAGTAGCGTCTTGCTCCTAGTAGCGATGCCAGGATCCCCTAGCAGCGTCCTTGTTCCTAGTAGCGATGCCAGGAGCCCCTAGTAGCGTCGTTCCTAGAACAATCTAGGCCTTGTCAAATTTGTCAACCAATCTATACAGTGATTCCCTAAATCATGTCCCGTCACAGCGTACTCACCAACCAATGGACCCAATGCTTGTTTGCTGCTGGGTCGCATCCCTCAACGGTTCACGAGGGTTGCATTTGGGTACCAGGTGAAGGCAGTGTCGCTGCAAGCGGCCCTGGCAAATGGCTGGCGATTTCAAGAAACTGCTTCCTGAAAAGTGCCGCCATTTATGACCTCCGCACATCCATTGGTTAGTAGATGAGTCAAGACCAAAAAAGAGGCCAAGAGGTGGTGTGATCCTGTAGGTGCAGGCTTCATGAGTAGAAGCCATTGAGACCCGTCTTGCTTCTTTCCACCCGGTTTCCGTTCCTCCATGGTGAGCAAGTCACCATTGCAAAGGTCCAATTCAACGATGCTGTTGGGAAGAGGAGCCTTGGCTGTGAAATCGTGCAGCTACTGAACTGCATTTCACGCTAAAGGCCAGAACTTTGGTTGAAAGGCTAGAAGAACGCTTCCTGTTGGAGATCATGACTCGTAAATTGTCATGTCGCAGGATACATCGAGACACTCTCAAAGTGCGTGGGCGAATCTGCCTAAGGGCCTAAGGGAACATCTTGGACAACCTTGTTTGAGGCGGTCAAGCTGGGTTCCGCAACATCTTTTGGTTCTTTGGCCGCGTTCTTGGCCGCAGCGTTGCGGGCCATGATTAGGCTCCAGTGAAACGGGAACAATGTTTCATGACATCTACAACAAGCCACTGGCTGGGTTTTCATTTGCCTGGCGGATGGTCTTGAGCTTCAAAAGGTAGTCCTTGCTCTCGTCAGGTAGGCTGGCAATGAACGCGAAGGAGTGCGTCCTCACTGCCTCTTCGATGTGCACCATGGAGTTTGTCACCCAAGTTGGGCAATCACCCAATCCTGCTTGGAGAGTTGCTGCCTGTCGAAGGACCGACCGCCGCAAGACATCGTCCATGTAGTTCAGGACGAAGCTCGCGCCCAAGGTCGCTAGCTCCTCTTCCGCGAACTCCGAAATGTGCCTTCCAGCATGCGGCTTTGCACAAAAAAAGTTAGAGCACAATTTTAGCACATCATTTTCTACCATTTATCAGTAATATCAAAACTATAAACTTGCATCAGGGCTTCACCCCTCTGCACAAACACATCATGCTTGATACCCGCCATCCTGGTGAGAAGCTGCGTCAGTATCTCAAGGCACCTTCGATTTGCCTTGCAAGGCACACCCCCACAAATGGGGGGGACAAAGCCTTTGGTGGGTGTTTGCTGGCTGTCTACCTACTTAGCTGACTCTTTCAGATCACAGGCCACAGGTCATGATGCAAAGCCAAGCTTACGGATGTTTACAAGGGTTCATTTCGAGCTCATCCTGACACCCTGCTGCCGAAGTCACTGTGCAGTTGCTGCCGCTGGCCCCGCGTTTGGCGCTGATGCCCACCTCCTGAAGATGACCCAAAGCCCCGCAAATCGGGGTCAGCATGGACGGACTGAAGCTGCCACCATCCCGCCTGGAAGTTTACATGCATGCATGCTCTGTATAATATGATGACACTGGCATCGCCAAAGCCAACATAAGAGCCTTAAGAATCGAAATGAATCAGGATCCACTTCTCTCAATGCCTGAAAAGAACCAACAGCTGGGCTAGAAGCATGTCGAGGTAGGTCTGCTCCTGCACAGCCAGAAGCTAAGGTTCTACGTCCTTCGGGCTTTGAATTTATGGGACGCTACCCAAATCTCCTGCACCTCTGCATAAGCCATCAGCTTCAAGCAATTCATCAAAGGCGCAAAGCCCAAAGAGCCCATTTGGGCAGAAAGGTTTCCCAACAAAGACTCTGCACAGGCCAGCGCGTCTGACTCTGTTTGGGGCTTTGGTCCAGCTAGCATCAATTCCTAAGTTGCTCTGGTGATTTGCCACGCAACGCTATATGATATATTTAAGAAAAAAACTTATACATGTTGCACAACCACGTATATTGTGGTTGTTAACTCTTTATCGTTTTACAATGTTTGGAAATCTTTGTGCAGCCCCTTATCGTTTCCCAGCCAGCCAAATATGTCCCTGCCTCAACTGCAAGCAAGTCGGTTTCTGATGTGTGTGTGTGTACATGTGTGCGTGCAGGACTGTGTGAGCAGTATGTGAGTATGTGCATTGCTTTGGGTGGATTTTTCTTTCCAACGATTGCTGTCAAGCTCTTTCCTTGCCAACCATTCTTCAAAAACTTCAGCATGGCATGTTTTTCAGTCGCAGGAGCACTGACCACAAGCACGCCACATGCTCTGGTGATGCAGTGGGGGCGACATAATGTGCACATGTTTTATTAGGAATTGGATTCGTCTCTAGTCTTTTTCTCTAATTCACATGCCCACCAACCAGCCCTCCCAGACTTCACCCCACCAACCCTTTCTGATTGGGATGCGCAAGTCCTAGCCTGCTCCTAGTGTGATACACCAGGCGCTCTTCCACATTAATAGTTTGGTGCTGCTTTGCAAAGACTCGTGAAAAGCTGCGAATTTGCAGTCATTGCGCGTACATGGGACATGGTCTTCCCGAGGGTTTTTTCGTGTATTTGTGTCATCGTTTCTGTTATCGTTTTGCTATCGTTTTGGAACCCCAAGTATTCACCCAGTTTGGTGGCCTTTTGAACATAGTATTTTCCGTGTCCGCTACCATGCTACCGCTACCACTGCAACCCTGTGACTCGGACGTGTAGACATCTTTCGTATGAGAAAGGTCGCCTAAAGGACACCTGAATCACAACTAAACTGAACTTGCCTCACCATGCTCACGACATTCTCATGTACTGTATTGCATGTGTTATATTTTTATATTGTTTTTACAGTAACTCTTGCCAGAACGGGACCACTCATTACATGTTTCCTTGGTCGGTTCTTTTCTACATCATATGAGTTAGCGTTCAAACTAATTGTTCGCGATGTATGCATTGACAATTTAGGACATCCCCTATCGCTTTTTCAGGGTTTGGGTCTTTCCACATCTTTGTGGCACCCCAAGCCCCAAGCAAGAAACCTATATAAAGCCCGCAGGGTGTCAACAAGGTGCTTGTGTTCCTGTTCTCTTTGCAGGATAGCAACGCAGGTTTGCTGTTCCCAAGTGTGCGTGTGGGGATCTTGTCATTTGGCTTTAAAAGGTACCTTGTGAGGTATTGTTGGGGTATCGATGAAATCGCACTTATATACATGAAAGCAAAAACGGCTCCGCACTCTTTGCCGAGCTCTTTCCGTGATCAATACCAAGCTGAATGGATCCTCCGTGCGCAAAGCCAGATCTTCCCATCTCACTGGCTGCAATGCAAGTTTGGGGGGCTTCGCTTTTAGGACGTCCCCTGTTGTTTTTCGAGGGGAACACAAAAGACACATCAGCATCAAACATCCGAGCTAAACCTACACGACAATAGTCTTGTCTCTGACTCATTGTGGGACAAGCAAAGGGCCCAACATGGTCCAACTTTCAACAGGTCACGGCACCAGTGCCACACCAACATGCCTCAAATGCAGTTCCAAGTCACCACAGCTCTCACCAAACTCTCTGTGTCCAAGCGATGTGAATGTCTTGCTAGGGACTTGTAGGCTGCAAGCTTTTCGTCACCCGCAAGACATTCCACCGCATCTTGTGGCAAAACCGTGGTTAACTCTACGTCGTGGCAGTCAACCGCCGGCTTCTTCCGCTGCAGTCGTGCTTTACGATGTTGGCGTCGAGCATCCCATTGACTGTCACTCCTTGTCTGGAATTTCGGGAAGCGTCTGGACGCCAGGAAGCAAAAGAATACTAAAAAACTCTGGAAAATCACAGCAACCTGGCTGTATTGCTGTGTGTGTGTGCATCTAGTTGTTGCGCCAATCCAGAATCGAGGAGCGGGCATGGAGGGAAATCTGCTTCGTCCACAATATTCTCTCCAGCCACCCCCCTCTGCAGCAGTGCAATCCGCTCCTTGCGTGTAGCGATTCCGTTCGGATCTGTGGCCTCCTCCAGTTCTACTCCCTGCAAATGTTCATGGAGGGCGTGAGCTGCATGGAGCGCCAGCTGAGCAGAATCCTGTCTTTGAGATCTTTAAGCTTCCTAACTACCCATCGTCAAGGCGTCAAAATAGGATCAATAATTAAGATGAACCGATGCGGCATATGCGTGTCCAGTCTATCAAACCAAATTAGATCATCAAATCAAACCATTTTGCTTTTGTCGCCTCAAAGACCTCCTCTTCCGTCTCTCCACTGGTTTGGCACCGGCTTGGTTGGCCATGACTTTCTTGGCTTTCCATCGCTTGTGACATCTCTTGTGCCTCGAGAAGTGCCTCTTCTCGTTCAAGCAGTCGAATCCGTTCCCTGCGACTCATGGACGTCACATCCTTTGTTCCCTTCTTGCCCTGGCACGGCAAGGGCCTTCACTTCAAAAAACAGTGCCCTTTTTTTCTGAGAGCAAAGAACTTTTGAAGTGCGTCGGCGTAAGAGCCGATAGTGTCCTGTCCTGGTTGACCCGGTTGAACCCAGTTGATCCAATTGACCCGATCGACTTTGTTTGATGGCAAGTGTGGTAGTGGTAGTGGTAGTGGTAGTCGTAGTAGTCGCGCTAGCCTTCGTGGCCGTCGTAGTAGTAGTAGTAGTAGTAGCAGCAGCAGCAGTAGTAGTAGAAAGTGGAAAGTAGTAAGTAGTAAGTAGTAAATAGTAGCAGTAAATGGTAAAAGTAAATGGTAGTAGTAAGTAGTAAGTAGTAAGTAGTAAGACTAAGTAGTAAGTAGTAAGTAGTAAATAGTAAGTAGTAAGCAGTAAGTAGCAGTCGTCGTCGTCGTCGTCACAGCAGCAGCAGCAGCAGGAGGAGGAGGAGGAGTATGTAGTAGTAGTAGTAGTAGTAGTAGTAGTAAACGTCGTCGTCGTGGTGTTGGTGATGTTCGGCCAATTGGGCCAACTGGGCGAACTGAGTTCTGAGTTTTAGCATGGCCGCCTGGCCCCGTATGCGGCTGCAATGAATTGAAGATTTTGTGGTTATTTTTCACGCCGCTGCCTAGTCATGTCCCAAATGTCATTGTGAAACAAATGCCTGGAATCTGCGGGCGCCTGTGGCCTGTCTTGGACCTGGACGTCGCTTTGATCTTGCTGTTGGTCTGACACCTTGCTTGGAGGCGTCGGGGTGGCTTCTGCAGGCGCTGCTTCGACAGGAACTTCGTGACTGCTGGGCAAGTCAAAGGCCTGGTGAAGTGTGAGATTGAGGAAGAAGAGGGGCCGCAGGCAATACCGCAGGTTGAATTCTTTGATCACGAGAGCAGGTGGCAAAAGGATCAAACTAAATAGAAAATTTTGTTTTCCCTACAACTGCCTACCCCAACCTGAACAACAGTCAACGCCACCTGCGCAGGAAAAAAGGATTCCCACATGGCGTTGAGCTCTGGGTCATCCTCCTCTGCATCATGTTCCGCCTCCTGCAACACATTTACCAAGCCGCGCATTCCTGTGCATCGTGAAGCTAGATGATAGTGATTGTTATATAGTCCGTGTGGGGCAGGTCCTTGCAAAAGAACGCCGTGCGAACTTGCCAATTGCTCATTGCCAGCGGCTGCTAGACGCGGCTGGCGCAACCAAGTCGACACACACATACACACACTCAAGATTACGCGTACTGACTTGAAAGCGGTTGCCACACGCCGGCCTGAGTAACCATTTCCTAAAGGTACAAGTAAGAACCATCGGAGCCTGGAGGTCGTCAAAAGGAGAAGGGGCCAAAAGCTCAAGATCGAAAACGACGTTGAGATGACGTCGTACGCGCTTGTCTGCAGAGTGCATTAGCCCTTTGCGGAAACTTCAAAAGTTGATGCAGGTACGCTGGGATGATCAGCCCCAGTATCACCAAGGCTTAGAGAGCGTCTTCGTTGGTGGTAGACTCTCTGCCTTGCTACCACCCCCTGCTAAAAGCTCAAACAAAAAACCAATCCGAAGGAACCTCGTGACTCCAGAGGGTACACACACACACACACGGTCGCCGAGGGGAGGCATCTTTTTCTGCTAAGCTCCAGACGAAAGTCAGGTTGGGTGAGAGTGGGGCCTATGAAAATCAACCATAGGGATGCCCTCCGTCGGCGCCAATCCGGCAGGAGATGGTGGCATGGCGGGTGGAGCAGGAACGGGTGGGGAGGAACTCATCACTCTAAGGTCCCGGCAGACTCCAACGAGTCTTGAACAAGCTTCGGCCGCTGCGGCCACGTACGCCGTGCCAAAATGGCTGGCAGCTTTGACCGCTGTGATCACGTAACTGCAGAAGCCAGCTTAGAACTCAATACTTCGTCAAGTCTTGGCAAATGACTTTGGCCTGAGCCTACTTTGTCCGCTGCCGACTACTCTGGTCCCGGGCGCAGGGACGAAGACAAACCCCCGTTCGACGGGTCCCCCTGGGCTCTCACACGAGGAGAGACACACTCAAGATTGCGCGTACTGACTTGAAAGCGGTTGCCACACGCCGGCCTGGGTAACCATTTCTAAGAACCATGTCAGCCTGGAGGTCTTCAAAGGAAAAGGGGCCAAAAGCTCAAGATCGAAAACGACGAGCAGGTCGAGATGACGTCGCACGCTCTTGTCTGCAGAGTGCCCTTTGCGGAAACTTTAAAAAGTTGATGCAGGTACGCTGGGATGATCAGCCCCAGTATCACCAAGGCTTAGAGAGCGTCTTCGTTGGTGGTAGACTCTCTGCCTTGCTACCACCCCCTGCTAAAAACTCAAACAAAAAACCAATCCGCAAGGAACCTCGTGACTCCAGAGGGTACACTCTGACAATTGTATTCAGTTAACTCAGTTACCACGATGGGAAGGATGGTGAAGAACCGCAAGGTGAAAGGTCCGAAAACTTGTAGGTGTTTCAAAAAATGTTGTTCAAGTCTGCAGAAACGAGCGGCGCGCTGCGAGTCGGCTGCAAAGCTAAGCTGCAAAAAGCTCCGCGAGGTTTGGGGGAGGAAACGTGAAGGACCATGGAAACAAACCGATCGAATTGGACAGCTTGCTCAAAAGTTCTTTTGGCAGGTACGTCCAGAAAGCGTCCTTTCTGGATTTCACGACCGGGCTATCACTGTCTTCGTTGGGCAGTGAGTGATAGCGGTCCACTGCCCCCCTGCTCAAACTTGAGAGAGGAGGGGGGTGAACGAAAGGTAGCAGGGAATCAGGCGTAATCCGGGAGGAGGTGAGAGGCCCCCCACTTGTTTGAAGAGAAGTGAGTGAGCGTGATGAAAGAAAGACTAGTGCACAAACGCTTGACAAAACCTCCAGAAGCTGTAGCGGTCTAGCGGTTTCAATACAGGTTGACGTGCCTGCAAAAGGAGTCACAAATTTCTCAAATGCAACTTCGGATTTACATAGTGACGTGCGGCGACCCTGTAAATTGCGTGGCCGCAGGCCATGCTTGCAAACAGGACGTGCTCAAAAACACTGGTATTTACGAGGTTTCGTTGCCGTCGATCCACAGCCGCGGCAAGGTCTAAGGCCACGCTTGAAGACAGGAGGAGCTGAAAACACTGGTATTTACAATATTTTGGAGCCGTCGATCCAAAGGCGCACCACGCTTGAGCGCTGGAAAAGCGCAGAAAACCGTGTAAATACCGGCGTTTTCTGCCGGGAAGGTGCACAAAACCATGTAAATACCATAGTTTTGTGCAATTTTGAAGCCTCCAAAAGCCTCAAAAACCCTTTCTGACAAAATCTTTCCTGGTTTTTGGTCTTTTTTCGGTCATTTTTCTAACCGAGACGCATCAAAAACCATCGGTTTTTGCGGTGTTTTTTGCCGGACAGCCACAAAAAACGCTGTAAATTCCATGATTTTTGGTCACTGCTGAGGACTGGAAGAGCTGAAAACACTGATATTTACAATGTTTTCGAACGGTTGACCCCGAGGCGCGCTAGGGTGGAGTTGAAAGGGGGGGGGGGGCCCCCCCCCCCC